CCCGTTCCATTAACGGATGTATATGCAGACACGTTCCCATTCAACTGGAACGATCCCTGAATTTTCAGGCTATCAACATGCTCGTATGCAGCGGAGATGTTGTACGCTCCTGATAAGTTCAGTTCGAGTCCATTTTGACTGTCGATTGCATACCAACCCCTTCCTGTCTCAAAAGTTCCTGTTCTTCCAAAAGTTTCGTATGAAAAGAACTCTGCATATCCGTACGCACTGGAAGGAGCCGTTGACCGAGACTCCACTGATCCTTTACCTTTCCCAGAGTAGCGTCCTCCAGCGCCCATGAACCAGGTGTATCCATCCCCTGACAGTTGGAACCCCCCGCCCTGCTCCCATTGGTGATTGTACGTTTGTGGAATCCTTCCGACTGACATTCTAGCATCATGGGAACTTTGGCGTTTCACACGGGAGTATCCCGACCCTTCGCCATAGTTAATATTTTCATTCTCGCATTTATCGGGATGGAAGTTTTTGAGGGAGCCAGGACTTACTTTGCTAACATGCACAAGCGTATCGGCGATAGAGGCAAGACTTTGAACGAATGAGTTGATGTTGTTGGAATCATGCATGTCATAGTTTGAATCATGCCAATCACTGTTTGATTCCTGCCAAGTAGAATCTGTGTTTGAGTGATCCATATCCGTGTTTTGCGCATAAGGTGGTGCCGTTTGATTGGGAAGGCCAGCAGTTGTATCCCCCGGATCCACACTTGATCCAACATATCCACCAGTTGGACCAGTTCCCTCGCTGGTCGATTCGGGCCATGTAGTAGTCTGAGTGGCAACTCCAAGAAGGAGCTGTGATAATACGAAGAGTTTGAAACGGTTGAATTTGTACTTTTTTGAAAACAACATTATTGATCAGCGTTTGCAGCAATTTAATCGAAGCGCTTTTATTTTTGACGAACTGAGCAGAGAAGTTCTGTTTGGATTGGCACCGTAAAAGTTTTTATTGATAATTTATAACTCGATGTTTTGACTGTTTTGAACAAAATTTTAAAAACTGGTGCAATTTAAGCATTGACGTCAACCTGTTTGATTTAACCAAACTTCATTTTATAAATATAACTAAATTTGGCACACTGTTCATTAAAAAATTACAAGAGTATATTTATGGTTTCAAAAAGCTTCTCTTTTATATACGTGGCTAATTATAAATCTGAACAAATTTAGTTTTTTGTTAAGATCAATGACAATTCTTTTCACCTCCGAGGGCCAAATCGTAAAAAATGATGCATAATTAATTATTCAATAAGTCTCAACAGAATGACTACAATAAATTTCAAATGCCATCACAAAAAAAAACTTATCAGCAAAAAAAAACAGCATTAGTTAAATAAAAGCTGATTTCAACTAATGGACTAATCAACTTCCTCGGTTAATCTCGGTTTTTGTTTTTGTTCCCCCCATCGCCCACTAAAAGTCATTTTAAAATTATTTCTTGCCCACACAAAATCGTGTAGTACAAATACACGTCAGGAGGTGGTCGATTGAAATATCATATTACAGTCCCCTTTACTTGTGATTCAATATTTGCTGCAAAAAATTCCACATACGTTTTCTCAGCGTCAAAAACGATCGAAAACTTTGACTTTAGTCTAGTCTTACGAAGCTGAACAAAAGCAGATAAACAAAAGCCCGGCACTTCAAATTTTAAAGGAAAAGAACCAATTTCGTACATACTGAAAAAAAAACGGACTCGAACCCCAGAATACAACAGGAATCAAAAGTACTCAAGGATACAAAAGTAAACGCGTTACCTCTAGCTTAAGTGTGAACAAACCTGGAGTTTGTTAAGGTTTAATAAACAAGCATAAAAGGAAAGCTAGTAAACTTTTAAAATATTTTTTTTACGGGAAAATGTCCGGTTTTCGATTACACAACACTTGCTTACGCAAGCTTAAGTATTGTCAAAAAATACGATCAAATTTATTATGTTCAGTTTGAGGAAAACAGATTCAACAGCGCAATCACCGGCGTTTAACGAACACTACAAATAATCAAGCCGCAACTAAGCCCGCAAAATTGGGCAAGCAACCGTTGAGACAAAAACGAAATTGCTGTCATAAAATTGTTTATCTCTTTTTACGCTTTTTGAAGTTTTTCGCTTCCTCTACGCCTCCTGTCTGGAAACACAAACAAAGCAAAATTACTAGGCCGAAACAGCAAAACAACATTAGTCGAATTCATAATAGTCCGAAAAAATTATTGAGCAAAACAAAGAATTTATTTAAAATTAGGGCCTAGTAGATTTACAAATTACAAGATTTAAAACACTTTCAATTGCAATGAAATTTTTTACCACAAATTTTGTCCGTGATGTGACAACTAAACTTTAAAAAAGGTTCTGCCAGGATTCGAACCTAGGCCCATTGCTGTTTCAGGCCTAGTCAGTATCTCTATACTAGTTGTGCCAGAGAAGCTGAAGATTTTGAAACTTGTTTAAAATTAAGCTAACAAATGATTTGATAAATTATGTTAAACAAGTTGTTGACTTGAAAAAAAAGGTTTCGATTTGATAACGCTTGCTAAACGCAAGCATAATACTAGACAGACTACCAGTTTCATGAATCAGCATTTTCAATTAAATTATGTCTTTAGAGCGTTGAGAAAAAAATAAGAATCCTTCAAAACGTACCATTCAAAAATATCGTATATACGTATATTTCAGTTAAGAAAAAATTCTCATTAACTTTAGAAGACTAGAAAAAAATACCTCGAATTTTCAAAAGAGACTTTCCACGCGCCAATATATGTCTCAAAGCTGATAGAGCTGCAATCAGAAATCAAGGAGCCGAAAGACAACTGATTTCAAGGTTGTGTCGTTTTTTGTAAAGGGTTGGAAGTCGGGATACAACCATTCAAAGGGATTCAGTTGAAAACGTTGAGGATATCAAAAAAACAGAGTGCAGCCTCCGGTGATAAGCAGTGAAATAGGAACAGTGTTATGAAGGCTATAGGGACATGGCACAAATAGCAGAGGCAGTTAGTAGAAGAACCAAAGGGTTAAAATTTGGAAACGAGGGCCTACGGCAAGCGAGCTTCAAAAACAAAAATTTTTAACTTGAAAGCTGATTATCACAAACTTTTGCAGTTAAACAGTTAAAGAAAATAAAAATAATTTTTGATTTTCTTTTGTCACTGTTCTACCTAAAAGAGTGGACTAGTAACGGATCTACCATTGCCAACTAGCACCCATTACGAAAAAAGGGGACTTGATGGTAAAATCCGTTATGTGTAACCGCGGAATTCTTTTTCAAGACATTTAATGACTGGGTAGCATCAGGGTGCGGGGGGGGGGGGTAGCTAACAGTAAACCAAGTAATTTTTTCTCTTTTTTTTCTAGTTTTTTTTCAACTTAGGAGTGTTATAAGACTTACATCACGGTACAGCTCTCTAAATTTCAAGATTCCTTTCTGAATCACTTTCTCAACACAGATTCTAAGCTTCACTTCGAAAACAAGCGAGAAAAGAGAAGTCAAAAAGTAAAAAAAAAACTGAAATTCTGATGTGCCAGAATCGATCTCCCGATCGCGAAATTCAATGGCTCACGTCCTAGCATCTGCGCAATTGCCGTTTTTCAATCATTCAAAACTAGGGTCCCAACTTAATCAATAGGTAGCAGTTTGATAAAAAAAATTTAAAATGTACCCATGCGAAAATTGAATTTCAGATTTGGCGGGGTCGTTTTGGACAAAAACCCACGGAAGGTCTAAAAGAAAAAAATTCCGGGTCTAAATTTAAGTTCCTAAAAACAATCAGGATAAAGCTGCTTCTGCATAGAAAATTCCATGCCGTTCATTTCCGATTTGTATCAATTATCTCAGATATGGCACCGTAGTTTTCGAAAACAAAATGTCACACAGAGGAAGCTGCGCTTCACTAGCCAGATCACTGGCGTGAAAAAAGGAAATAAGAAAAGATAAAAACAAGCCTCGAATTAGTACAAAAAATGCTATATATGGGCTTCAAACCTGCGACCTCGAACGCTTAACAATCGTCAAACACTACTTACAAATAAGGCAGCTACATATGCTAAAAAATGACTAATGTAATGCAGCAAAAGTAGCACCAAATGCAAATAGATACAATTTTGCATGTATTGATTTGGAATATAACAAACTGAAGGCATTCACATCACCTTTGCATGAGATAAATTGGGAAAGGTAAATTCACATCATGTATAATTGATGCATTTCAAAAATTCGTTGGATAAACTGTTAACTTTTTACTAGTCAAATGTCAAAGCACGAATGCCATTACACTACTACGGCAGCCTATCTAATCAAAAGTGCACCCAAAACTAGCTCTTTTATTTGCGACTTAGGTTAGAAAAAAGGAAGGTTCGTACTAAGACACTTTGCTGGCAGGTGTAAAAAAAATGAACTTTTGCTAAGTCCAACATTGCTTTTCTACAACAATTAGGGCGTAACCGGTATCAACCGAATCTCCCCAGCGGACGTTCTTCCCATTAAACCTTTATCTTAGATCTGACTATAATTTCGAAATAAATCAAAAAGTTTCCTAGAGCCGGCAAAATTTCTGAAATTGTACATTTTCTGAGGAGATAATTTTTAACTAAGGCACCACCACTTCTATGCAAAGATTCAGAAAATTTGTTCTTGAACAAACCCTTAGCCTCAGAATTGGCAAGGTTCCTTTTGAGAACACAGCCAATTGACAGTTGGAAACAAGTAATGAATGCAAAGATACAGAAAAAAATGGACTTGTTTTTGAAAAAATTTCAAGCTTCGAATTTCGAAAAAAAAATAGAAGACTTAAACCTCTTTGAAATTGTTCTAAGACTGCTAAAAAACCGGTCCGCTAAAATCCCTAGACCATTGTTGTCCTTAGTACATGTATGGGGGTAAGGGAGGAGGAGGGGGTTGTGTATATTGTTCGCATAAGAGGAAGTTTTTGGAGAGAGTATGTCCGAGAGTACATGAAGTGTTTAAGTGCTCATTTTAATTGAAAGTTATAAGAACAAAAGCTTTCAATAATATATTTTCAGGATTGAATTAAATGAAATAACTAAACTACACCAACAATAGATTCGGGATAAATTTAATACAAAGTGAATACCTATATCAGCGAACATACTCCTAATTTACGACTTCACGAGATTACACAGCGAGATACGCTTTCACTCGAGTCAGTCCCATTCCAGTTATTCAGTTCATCTTCCCCGGCCGGATAAAACCCTGAGTAGATTTCGTTTCCATTGATGTCCTTGCAATTCGCATCTGTCAGCCACTCAATTCTTTCCTCGTGCAACTGACTCAGCAGATCTCGTTCGGATATTGCGTCATTATTCGACACTGCATTACCTCCGAACACTGACTGGTCGCCACTCTGATTGGACACCGAGTTCTTTGAACTCTTCCACCACGACAGTCTCCGATTGGCAGCACTTGGTGATGCAATCGAATCTCCGTTTGCAATGGAAGCTTCCTTGTTCGGAGAAGTATGTTTGGAGTCGGTTTCACTTCCTGCAGTCATGAGAAGCCCGCCAGTCTTGAGAGGCGCACTGTTATTGAGAGATAACTTTTTTGTCTTCTGGGTCTTGAACGAGAAGTCCATCACTGTCTTAAGTACTTGCACGTAGGGGAACAAAGCTGCCAGAAACAATCGGTATGTGAAGCTAAAACGGCAACTATTTATCCAGAGGCATCATATCGCCAACAAGCAAAAAAGCGGCTCTTTTCCACTCCCCTCACCAATTTTCATTTCAATCCTTTTTTCAGGAGTCCTATGTGCTATAATGGCTGAATGCACGATATGAAGAGCAAATGTGTTCACAATAGTTGAGTTGTTTACCATGGAAAATTTCTTTTCATTATCACAACGTGAAAATAGTTTTTCAAAACTGAAACTCAAATGTGAGGGGAAAGTGGAAAAGAGCCAAAAAAGAAAATGGAGCTTTGAAACTGCAAGAAAATCCAGATGTAAATAAGTTTTGACAAAAGTCCCGCCTACGAGATTGGCACCTCCGATTTACATATTTTGAGACTAATGTCTTGACAAGCGGATAAACACAAGTACTGCTTTGATACTCAAACTGAGCTCTGCTGGGAACTAATTTTGCTAGCTAGGTTGGAAAAATAATAATGAACTAATGAAACCCAAGCATTTGCTTGTGTGTAACCAACTATTGGCTCCTTTCCACCCCCCACCCACCTTCAAATTTTCGATGTTGTTCTAAAGACCTGATAAGGTCATAAGTTTGCTACAAAACCCGCCGCCGTTCATTGAAACTGATTTCACCTAGTTTCCAAATTCACCGAGACCTATTTAAGAGTATTCGCTACTTTCATGACTCAAGTTTATATTCTGGAAACGGTTATAAGACATTAAGAAAGACAAAAAATATTGAACATGTTTTACACAGAGGCGAAGTTGCACTTCGCATACACAAGCAAAAATTTGACCGATAATGCTTCTGGGAACAATTGAATGAAAAAAACTTCGAGTCTTAAAAAGTTTCTTAAGAGACGCACGCCAACTATGAGGCATAAGCAGTCAATTTGAAAAAAAATCTGCCAACTAACATGCCTCAATTTATAGAGCGGACGCATTTTAACTAGTATACGAAAAAGTTCATTAAAAACATCCGACCCTTCCCAGGTTCGTACCCTTTTTTTGTTGCTGGTCTCCTTCCCTACCTCTACGCTACAGATCCATAATACTTTGAAGCTAAAGTGCTATTTGTAATATAATAGTCAGTTAATATCCTTAGCATTGGCTGTACTTAATAGCTGAATCAAAATGAACACTTTCAAAATGAACATTTTGTCGCAACAATATTTGCGACTTAGGTTGAAAAAAAAGAAAGTTCATAGTAAAACACGAGCTATGCTTGCGTGAAAAGTTAGTACTCACCAGTGTTGTGCAGCCCAAGAGTCTAGACTGGTAAGTCCCTGTATGAGTCGCTGCCCCACATCTGTGAGTTGTGATGAGCTGATGATGTTGTTGATGATGCTGATGGCCTGCGTGACGTCAGAAAGCATCAGACAGATGAGGATGGCCCACTCGTAGCACTCGCTCTCCACCATCACACCCAATGCATGCGTCAACAGCCGCTTGCTCCTCTCAGAGCCCTGAACACAATCAAGCAGTTACCGTCAAACTTGATGCCGAGCTCATTTACCTGAAACTTAGGCATCCTAGTAGCAGCCATCGACGGAAATTAATTAACCTTATTCTTGAACTGTTGCACGAGTGACTCCAAATCTGCGCTTTGAGCCAGCTGAGTATGTGCTGTCTCGGCCACACTTCCTACGATCAACAGGGAATTCTCAATCGCGTTCTGATGCGTGGAGGACTCATTCAGGGTGTTCCACGTGGCAGTGACGTCATCGGACCAAGTAGAGCACTCCCCATCGTCTGGTTTGTCAACGGTATCGTTTTGGTTATTATTCGGTGAGTTGTTCAGGGATTGAGAGTTTAAGAAGAACGAAGAAGGGTTGTTGCTTTCGAGGCTGCTACTCAGATCTGGAAATGATATTGACAAGACTTTATCAAATAACCTACCAAATAATAACTAGTTCTCGCACTTCTAAATAAACTTTCCAATCTCGGTTAAAAGCAGTAGTCAATTATGCAATGAACAACGAAATAAATTGCGTGGAAGGAAGGCAAAATAATGTCTTCTTGGTTAAGGTTGTCAGATGATAATTTAAACAGTTTGCCGTATACCAAACGCTGAACCTTACCGGCCAGCTGCAATCTAGCATGTTGCAATGCATTCTGATTGGGTGTGAATCCACTACCTAGTGTATTCTCCAGAGACATATTATCCAGATCTAAACTCAGCTGCCCCGGGTGACGATTTGTGGCTGCATTCAGTGAGCTATACAACGAAGGGTGTGAGTCGCTGTGAATCCAAGTGGCAGTAGAGGGTACTGCAATTGGGTTGGATTTGGACTCTGAATTAGAAAGTGAACTCGCACCAGATGCCGCACAGTCAATTCTCTCAGCCGAGGCTGGTGGAAAATCTTGCAAAGTGACAACGGAGCTAGTAGTCGAAGAGGAGGACACTGAAAACAAAAAAATATGGCAAAAAATATTTCAAAGTCGTTCAATACCGAAGTTTGCCTATCAATTTCAAAAACCTTATTTGATTGAAACTCTTTTGATGAAACTAACCTAATTTCAAAAAAATGGATCAAAAATATGTATTTTTTTATTCCGCTGGGAATTTGAAAAAAAAACTAAGTCACGTTTCTTTTTCTGCCACTTAGCACTTTGTTATTGAGGAACATACATACCTTCCATTTAGAGAAAAACTTTGAAGTATATAAAAAGAAATCAAAAATCAAACCAAAAACACAAATATGGACACGAACAACAAGAATATTTCCTCAGAAAAAAAACGAAGGTAAATATTGTAAATCAAACATTTTCAAGACTGACAATTTCTGATGAAGCCAGCTCAAATTGAAATATAGAGACGAATGAGAGCTTGGCAAAACTTGTGATGTTTTTTTTTTTTACAATTTCATAGAAAACTGAAACAGAAGAATGGCCCCGATGAAAGACATTTTCTGCCATAACTTACAAAAACGTACATGGCAAGATCGACAAAAATCATCCACTATTCCACAAAAAATCAAATTTGCAATATTCCGTACTGAATTGTACTATCTTCAAAAGTTCCCAAGCTTCTTCCCGAAAAGCAAGGACCATAATCATCAGCAAGTCTAATATGCGAAAAGATGAACTGAAAAACTTTCGCAAAAAACATAGATCTTGTTTCAATGGCAAAAAGGATATGAAACAAATAAAGATTTAAAAAAAACACATCACTAAGTTGGGAACATCTGAACTTGAGAGAATTTTTTTTAAAGCTTACCCCATCTCCAAAACTTTTTACTTTGTCTCAAATAAATGAAACCCAGCGAAAAAAGGAATACACAATCACAGAAGCATCGCCGAGAATTAGTATTGAGCCGAACAAAATAAAATAGACAATTTGACTTGAAAAACCGATTACTTTTTGAACAGCCAACTTACAGTTGGAAAATAGTAATGAACGCAAGGAAACTGAAAAAAAAAACTAATTGTTTTTTTTTCAAAAACCTTCCGCTTTTGAAATTCGAGGGAAAAAAATAGACGGCCTAACACTCATTACTCTTGATAAAATTTTCCTTCATACATGACATTGGTTAGATCTAAGCAGTCTATTAATCTTCAAAAAGTTCGTGTCTCTTATTGCATCTCAAATAATTTGTTCGGAAAGATTAATTTTCCCTTTATTTTTGTGAAAACTATAATTTGCATTACGTTAACTATAAGGGCATATCGTTGAACACGCAGCTTTTAGGACTGCTTAGATCTAACCAAAGATATGAAATTTTTGGGTAGATAAATTTTTTCGATATTTTTTTTTTAAAATAGTTATAGGATTTAGTCTATTTCTGTCGGTTATTTTGTCATGCCTCGTTTGGATTGTGTCGCAAGTGTCCATAAATTTCTTTTGTCATGGTTTGTTTATGTTGTATCGCAAGAGGCCATAAGTATTGCAAGTGACCATAAGTATCACAAGTGGCCATATTTATCGCAAGTTTTGCTCTTAATCCATTTCGACTTGAAATAAATCAATGTGTAATTATTTTCTGCGTAATATTTGTAATTAAACGTTTGATTTGCAGCCTAGTTGATAATTTTTTGTCTACCGGGAGCTATAGGACTGAAATATAGGTGCTTCTGAAGACGGCAGAGATTTCAAAATGTAATCTATTCAGGTGCAAAGAACCTTTCAGCTTCAAAAAGTTCGTGTCATCTATTGCATCTCAAATAATTTGAAGCTGAAAGATTCTTTGCACCTGAATAGATTAAATTTTAAAATCTCTGACGTTAGAAAATAACAATAGGCTACAAATCAACCTTATAATAATAAATATTTCGCAGAAAAAAATACACATTGAACTAGTTCAAGTCGAAATTGATTAAGAACAAAACTTGGGTTAATTGTGGCCACTTGCGATACAACATAAACAAAGCATGACAAAATAGTTGACAGAAATGTGGCTAAGTTCTATAACAGTTTGGAAAAAATGATCTACCCAACAATTTCAGATCTTTGTCTTAGATATTGCTCTCAACAAAATGTGCCATCTAGACATTTGAAAATTAATTAGCATCACCTCAAAATAAACAAATAAACGGAAGGCCCAAACAAATGGTTTTGAACAATTGAGTCCCCCTCAAAACATTTAGATCTGCACATCAAAGGACCCAAAGAGGCCGCTGAGCCGATAGATTTTCAGCCGAAAGAAGGTGAAAAAATGATATACTGAAATCGAAGTTGGTAAATTTTCACACAGCATAAAAAATTAATATGCATACATGATCGAAAATTGTCTGTTAGCTGAATACAGTTCAGATGGAGCTGACCTTAACTTTCAATCATCCTGTGATGAAAGTTATTCAGGGAAAAAGCTAGTATCCAGTTGAAACACCCTTGCTAAGCGCAAGGGCAATGAATCAGTAATTTAAAAATGATTGTATCATGGGATAAAAAAAGGGAAGAAAAGCTAAAAAAAAAAATGTTGGAAAAAAAAGATCTTTTAAATTATTTTTGTCTTTTCCATATAAACTTAACGCTGTTGGTTTTCTATGTATGTTGGTTAATAGGGCGTCAACGATGACAAAAAAAAGTGATAGAAAGTAACATTCAATCACTAAGCAGACAGATTTAAAATATAGCCAACAGACAGTTGGAAAAGAGTAATGAACGCAAGTAAACATAAAAAAAACTTTCTTGAAAAATCTAAACTTTCGAATTTCAAAGAAAAAAATAGATGCCCTTTAAGCTCTTAAAATTTTAGAAAAACTTATGATTGGCGCTTTTTTGAAAAGTTTAACTTGAGAAAACTGGATCAATAGGTAAAGTTTTAACCCCGCTGGAAATTTTAAAATTAAATTCCAATTTTGAAAGTAGAAATTGTTCAAATTTTGCGCTATTTCCACGTTCGTATTTAGAGCGCTATTTAAGTCACTTTCAGCAGATGAATTTCAAATGAACTCAAAAACTGCATATTTACCTGAGTGCATTCATAAATGCCTTCAAGTATGAATGCACACCAGTAATTATTATACCACTTATTATTAGACTTTTTCTTGAAAAAAAATCACCAAGACCTATATAAGAGTCTTCACTACGTTGATTAATCATCGAAAAAACCTTAATTTGAAGAGAAAAAAATTGAAAAAAAAATTGCAACCTCAAGCAGTCTTTAACTCTGCCGAAGTGACAGCTGCAAAATAATAAAACAATTTGTCATAAACAAAGCCAACAGACAAATGGGAGTGTCAATGAACGCAGAAACAGAAAAAAATGATTTACTTTTAATTTGAAAAAATCAACTTTCAAACTACAACAGAGGAACAAGTGCAACTTCGCAGTGAAAACCAGGAACAAGTGCTACCTAAGTCGCAAATATTAGTGTTCATTTTGGTCACTTGCTCTCGCATGTTAAAACAGAAGTGGTATTTTTTTATTTCTCTAAAAGTTATTCGAGAGCGTAACTTGTAGCTGGAAAAAATAGAACCAAACGCACTAAAATAAAATATTCACATTACAGCGATTCATTTCTTGACACTTACGCGACATACGCAGCTGAGACTATATTCAACTTACGGGTTGACGACTTCAGATGTTCTGCGGCAATCTTCGACTGATCGGCTAGCACTGAAATCAAAGATTTCCGATATACGTACAGGAAATTCTCCAACTTGATTTCAAAATTAAAAAACAAGCTGTTCACCTGGAAATGGCCAATCAAACTCAACATGCAGTTTCTCTAACGCATCTTGGTAACTGTCAATCTTCGCAGCACGATTTCTGAAGCAAATTCAAATGTCGGAACTCACATGTTTGAGGCAACTAATAGAAGTAAACAAATACTACTTATCACAGAAATCTTTTTGATTTTGAGCCTCCCGTGATAAAATAACGACTTAATAACTTATATACGACCATATTCTGGATAACCGAACTGACCTTTCTCGTTTCAGCCACGATGTTAAATTGAATCCAATATGCGAAGCCATGACGAACAGCTGTCTCAATTCATACCCCACTAGAAGGGTTCTGGCTCTCCGCGCAATTAGAGAAGACAAGTAGAAGATATCATTTGAATCTGGCTGCTGCTGCGATAGTGGTCCAGACACCTGATGATTGGATCCAGATGTCGATGGCATACGTTGAGAGTGATCTCCTGATGAGGACTTCTGGCCACTTGAGTTAAGCTCAGCATCAGTTGAAACGGAACTGAAAACATATGCTTGGTTGACTGTTTTTCGATCTGATAACAGACTGAAGAGAGCGGGGTTTTGCAATTTACTTCTACGTTGAAAGGTTCCAATGATAACTTCAAAGAACATCATAAAACAGCGAACAAGGGTGACAAGTATAGGTTGCGCATAGACCTGGTTCATCCTTTTGTGCTTAAATTTAATCGATAACTAAGTTGAGCAATGAATAAAATATTTCAGTTTGAAAAACATACATACTTGCATTTTCAAAAAAAGTACAATTACTCGGGTCATTTCAATGCAGGGTAATTCAGGTTTTTCCAGTCTTACTTATAATTCTGGCTTTTACACCAATTACCCTTCGACACTGATGTTTTTCAAAAAGATAAAGAGAACGCAATGTGAGGCTTCGTAGTCAGCAACAGGCAACTTAACTCTAATACCGGTCCAAGAGAAGACAATATTAGCGTAACTAAATCAAGTGACCGATGATCTAATTGGTAGAAGAGTTTTTGTACCGTTATAACAATTTGCGGCGATAAAATTTATTCCATGAAAGAGTAAATATCGCATCTCACAACTACTAAGGTTAGAGCCGTTTGCTTTCTGAGGCATAGCCGGAAATTTTTTTTTATCTTGTTCGTTGTGTCATTCTAAATTTAATTTCTGCGGCGAAATATTTGATTTATTTGTGATTGTGACAGTTAATCAGATCCACTTGTCTGCTCCCGGACACCGGTAAGAAATTTAATTTGTCTGCTCGTAGACCGTACACCGCAATGTGATATTTACCGGAAACGGGAGCTGAAAACAAAAACGATTAAATTAACGGGCCAATTCTTCCATCAGAAAGTTTTCAAATGTAAAAACACACCATTGAAAATGCGTTCTGAAATTGGGTAAGGAGGAATCAAACAGCGATTATTTTAGATTGAATTAAAAGAAACTCAGACAGAAAGAATGATGACCAAATTTGTTAAAAGAAAGGAGAGATTCACAAAAATCAACTACCTGCTTTTATAGTAACTCAAACCAAAGGGATATCTAAAATCATATATTACTCTTTAAGTGCAGAGCCGACAGAGCTCAAACAATTCAAACAAAAGCATGAATAACTTGCACAATGGTTTCCAACGTCTACTCCAACTGAATCAAATTATAGACATCCGAAACACGAAACACCGCCCCCATTACATGTATAATAACAGAAACAGAGTTGGAATTGGGCCGACTTTTCTAAGCCCGAACCCGGGGGTTAAAAAAGGGCAGGCCCGAAAAATTAACGAAATACTGGTCCGAAAATTTCATTTTTTTTAGAAGCGCTTGCTTAGTAATGCAGAGCTGGAAGGATCGATTCCCGTGGTATTCTATTTTTTTTGTAGCTAGATTGCAATATTTCACAATTTTAATTTATTCCTACTGATTACGCTTAGGCCCGAAAAATACGTATTTTATATTTAAAAAAATTCGGCCCGAACCCAAACCCGTTTAGTTCCACCTCTGGTCAGAAATACAGCTTCATTTAGATAAAACTAGTTTGAGCAATTCCAAAGAAGGATGAACACTTGAAATTTACGACTCAGAAAAACCTTAACCAATTTGAACGAAAAACTGCGGAAATCTTACCGAGCAACTGCCGTTTTCGGCGACTGAGAGTAAGTCAGCACACCTCCTACGGGCGTGAATGAAGTAATTGAGCCGCCTGATGGGTTTCCAGATGAACTAACTCCCCCAACCGCGTTCTGGCCACCACTTTGAGAGGTGTTTCTGGTTCTGCCTCCCAGTGAGTTCAGACTGCCTGTGGAGGAGTTGGATGGAACGTTGGCGCTATGATGAGGCGCGTTCACCTGAGAATTGGATGAGCTGTTGATCTGAGGGTAAGCGTAGACAGAATAGGGCGTGTGGCTTACTTTGGGCGAGACTTCGTCACCGGATGATGCAGCTAAAATAGAAAATAGTTTGGAGTTGCTTACATTACAACTACAAACTTATGACTGTATCTCCCTCCTCCCAGTAAACATTTTTTCATGGTTTGTTTTTACGTCTCTTGCTAATGCCGCGCCTCGCAATCTCAAGTTTAAGGAGCCAACTTAACCAGGACTGCTTGTACCAGGGCGAATACTTGAATGTTTGACTGCATTTTGAGGTCTATGGAGTGGAGTAACTGTTCCCATTCAACAATGGACCAAATTTTCAAAAACGTAGATTTATAAGAAGGATTAAATCTACGCTTTCGCTTTTTTAGCACGAAAAATATCGCGCTTTAATTTTCACAAATTGGCAATCATCAAACCCACATAACTTTGAGGTAAATTTGAACATAGCCAACTTACAGTTGGAAAAGAGTAATTAACGCAAGGAAACTGAAAAACTGAATTGTTTTTGAAAAAATCTCAAGCATCGAATTTTGACAAAAAAAAGATGGCCTTAAAGCTCTTTGAATTTGTAGAACAATTTATAATGGCACTTTTTTGTTAAAATTAACCCAATTTGAAAAAACTGGATCAATAGGCAAAACTTTTATTTCGCTAGGAAATCTGATAATTAATTTCCATTTTTGAAATTAGAAGTCGATCACGTTTTTCGTACCCTTTACACTTTTGCTGTTAGATAGTGGAGTTTGCCTTCCTTTAAACAATGGAAATGCACTGAACTTGAAAAGAAATCACAAGTCGAACCGCGAAAAATCAAAATTGAGGGAGAAAAAAAACTCCGTTCATTACGCTTAAAAACCTTTATAGAATCATCACATCTTTCCTCGACATTTTGACAAAATCGAACCAGTAAAAGATCTACTATAATCGTTAGGCGACCTTAGCATACAGCCTGACTGCCTAACTTTTAATTCAATAAAACAGAATAGTATTAACCTATCGACTTTAGGAATCGGATGATGTCTCTGACTAGAAGCCAGTGTCTCTTCTCCAGACAAGTGTCCACTAGTACATTGGCATACTGCTTACTTACAGACAGGGGTTCCAGACTCTGCAGGATGATCATGTAGGAGGCAGCTGTCGACAAGTCCTCCTCCTCAATGCACCTCTAAACCATTCCAAAGTCAGTCAATATTATCTGCTGGTCAAAAAACTCAATGAAAAAAGCCAACTCGCTAGAGTTGACTCTTTTCAGAGTCAACTCTTGCGAGTTAGAGCAGCTCCGCTTTAAAAACGTTACTTCCTTGAGCGTCTTGGTATCGTTCGATATTAGAATACTTAACATGTTCTTAGGTTTCCGTTGATTGCACTTCGCGAACCCATGAGAATAGCTGAGAACTTTCATGCTTAACGAGATATCATTCTGCCGATGTATTTGTATTCAATCGCGAAATTCTTGAACGAATATACCTTAATCATCGAAGACTATAGATGGTTAAAACCAACACGACCTTCACGCTCATTTCTGAGCTCATAGATTTATCAAAACTCGTACCTTGAAGTAATGTGCAGGATTCCCGGCTGTATTGAATAGGAAACTCCAAATAGCCACCTCCGTCTTCCTTGCGCACTTTGCCAATATGCGGAGGAATTTCCTTCTGTACTGTTGGTTGAGCACACTTATCACAGACGGCAGTAGTGGGTCGGCTATGGGATCACTGGCCGTTGCTTCGGCTTCCAGCACGTTATGTAGAAGGAGTTCCAATATGTGGTCAAAAGAGGGAAGAGAGTCGATGCTCTTCATCAGCCTGACTGCGTGTGAGTTCAAATTACGACGCAGCATTTCTTCCATCAATTGAGGGATGAAAATTTCCATCTACAAAAATCAATTGAAACTTAATTCTTTATCGGCATTAAAACTTAATCCCAGGAAGCCAAGTTGTCTCGAAGCAATATCTCTCAACTCACAAGACCTCAAAACAAATATAAATTATGTATAGAAAATCTTACCGTTTTGCTCATGACATAATTTGCTACTGGCTGAGCGGCTTGACTGGTTTTCGACTTACTATCGGATGCAGCTAGAACATCCATTATGTCTCGGCTATGGGGACTATTTAGTACCGTGTTCTCAGAATCTACTCCCATGATAAACCCCGAATTGCACTCCATGGCCAGAGGATACACCGCTGGGTGAAATATAAACACAGATCTTTTGAATCCGAAACTTCCGTCGCTTCTCGAAGAGTCTTCGGCGTCCACCGGCAATGGAAGCCAAATCTTCAGTCCAGATGCTCCGCACATCAACCAAACCGCGTCATTAAAATACGGACTTCTAGGGATACCATCCATAGACGAATTATAAAGTGTCACAGATTCGACATTGCTCGCTATTACTGTAGGTGTACAAAGGGGAACTTGATCTGGTATCTCAAGATCATCAATTAAAGGATCTCGAGGGAAGATTGCAAGACGTCCCGCAACGTTGATGAGGAAGCTCCTGGGAGTCGAATCACGTATAGGATGATTACCTGCTCAAAGTCAAACGGTTACAATCCAGGCCTTTATTTCGCTGTTGGGTAGAAAACATTATAAGCTACCATTCATGACAGATCTGATTCGAATACTGATCGGCTGTTTGAAATTCACTCACCCATTTGGTGTCCGACGTCTGTAAACATGATGGAGAGTATTGACTGCGGATAGGGAACAAACATGTTCAGAGGCGTCTCCTGAATCTTGGCCAGAACACACGCTGCAACATCACATTGATTTTGAATACTTTGGACTTGGAACCTCAAACTTAAGGGCGAAGAGGTGCTTCGCACCACTTGTGATACAAAAATGAGCGATTTTATACTGCAAAAAACTAAAGGAGATCATCCTGTTGACAAAGTTGTTTACGGGAAAAAATCTAGTACCCGATTGCAGTTCCCTTGCTTGCAATACCCCTAGTACCCGATTGCAAATGTAACAGAGGCGAAGTTGCATATCGCATATACAAGAAAAAATATGACCGATAACGCTACAGGGAAAAACTGACTGAGTAAAATTTCGAGTTACATAATTTCTTAAGTGACCCACGCTAAATATGAGTCTAAATAGATTCTAACTGACGCAAGTCAATTATGACGCATTAGCAGTCAATTTTAAAAAAAAGAAATTTACGAAATAACATGCCTCAATTTATAGAGGGGACGCATTTGAACCAGTATACAAAAAACGTCCATCAAAAAACATCCGACCCTGCCCAGGTTCGAACCCTCTTATTTTGTTGCGGGTCTCCTTCCCAACCTCTACCCTACAAATCCATGACATCTTGAAGCTAAAGTGCTATTTGCATTATAATAGTCTGTGTTAATATCCTTAGCATTGGCTGTACTTAATAGCTGGCTATTGATATTATGCACATACTGTAATAAATGAACACTTTCAAAATGAACACTAATTTTTGCGACTTAGGTTGGAAAAAAAACAAAGAGAGTTCATATTATCACACAAGCTTTGCATCTGTAAAGAGAAAACGAAATTAAAACCATTTTTCTCTAAAACAGTTATCTTTCGGATAAAATTGATCAACTGCGCTCAGTAAATTTCGATTTAATTTGCGAAAATCGCGAGAAGCACAAAGAAGAACCGCGAATCAGAAACAGTCATCGGCAAAGAATATGAAAACTTAAATTAAACTTTGACTTAAATTATACTTTGGCTTAATTTCTTTAAAACGAAAAACCACAATTTAAACAAATTTTGACATCTCTTCCATTTTTTTTGCGAATCGACGCAGATGAAACCATATTCAACTTGAAGGAAAAATATGCAAAAACGATAAGCCCAATAAAGCATTTAAAAAAATTTATCGCGGTATGTAAAAAACTTCATAAACAGTTTTTAAAACATAGCCAAAAGAAGCTTGGAAATGCGCCAATGATCTCAATGAATTCGAAAAAATAGAGCAGACTTTTTCATCTAATTTTGAAGAAAGACATACATCAAGTTAAAGCTCTTTCAGTTTGACGAATCTTTTATGATAGAAAACTGGGTCAAAGGCAATTATTCTTTTCCGCTGAGAAATCTTAAAAATGAAATATACTTCAAAACTAACGCCGTTCGCATATTTTCTTGCCATTTACATAATCGTAATTGGACAGTAATTTAATTTTCTTTTAGCAAATGAATATAAATTGAACTTTAAAAATCAACATTCAGGTCCTTAAAGATTTGGGCAAAATTTTCTGTTAAGAACACACGACCTAAATATGTGTCTTCACCTCGTTCATTGACATGCAATTATCTTAATTTGAGCAATTTAACAAAATACAAATGCAAGAAAAAATCTATCTGAATTTCAGACAGAAACCAGCAAGAACAATGAAGAATAGCTATCAGTGTTAGAAGCACAGAGTCGAAGCAAAGCTTTGGATCACTTGCGATATAACACAATTTCGGGCATGGCAAATTAACCAGAAAAAAATCTTTCTAAAAAAAGAATTATCGTATATGTCTTTCTTGGCGTTTTATTCTTTCGAGAAGAAAACGCCAAGAAATTCAATTGAATGTTGAATTAGTCTCAAAACAAAACTTAAAAAGCGGTAACAAAGCCGATAATAGCTGAGCATACACGTGGACCCGAAAAAATGCTTTCAGATCAGCTCATTAGCTCAAAAAAAACAGTCCCCCTCAAAACAGTTAGATAAAAACCTATCTCTTTGTACATTAAACTTTCAAAAATTAGACCACTGAACCGAAAAAAAACATACGCCAAAACCTTAAGCCGAATAAAGAGAAAAAAACTGATATACTGAAATCGGAGTTAATAAACTTGAAACCAACACAAATATGAAATTTCGAACATAACGGGCATCCAAATAGAGGCATACTCAAAAATTGTCTGTCAGTTGGCGAAAATACACATTTGGAGTTGACCACTAACTTCAGTGATTCTGTCGTGAACTAACGGTCTAGTGATCGGTTGCGGTAACATTTCTGTAAAGTTTCCACAACCTCTCGAACTATCTAATCACTATGTCAAAAAATCTCTATGCCACATATGCACTGTAGACCTCTATGCCACATATGCACAGTAGAATACTATAACCACGAGTAGATGAATCATTAAATCAAAAGTTGAAAAAAGTTCAGAGGAAACTTTGTTTAGAAAAAAACAGGTTGCAAATAAAAATTCAGAAAAAACTTGTAAATTGATTACCTGCACCACCAAAAATTGTTAGAAATGGCATTTGGAATGTCAGAAAGAAGCTCAACCTTCAAAAAGAGTCCAATATACAGGAAAAAGCAAAGCCGATAAAAACAAGCAAGCTACCAGAGTCCGAAAACATTAAGTTTCAACTTAATGCTTTTCAACAAAAAACAGGTACCAGTCGTACCAAACCCTAGTCCTAAGCATAGGTGTTACATCTGCATTCAATGCTCAGAATGAGTAATTTGCTTTGAATTTAGAAAAAGGCAAGTTGAAAGATCTAACATTCTCCAGGCCGAATTCAACGAGCCAATTTTTTAACGTCTTGTAGCCGGTTGCAATACCTTGGTTATCCTATTGATATTGCGTTTTTAATCATTATCATAATCATCGTCATGATTAGCTACTTTTATAGTTATTTCACGCATTGATTCACGCGCGACGTTGAAAAGACGTTTAGTACTCAAAAAATGTTAGGACCACTACAAATTTGTTTCTACCAAAATTATAGCCAATCGAAGATTGGAAAAGAGTAATGAACGCAAGTAAACATAAAAAAAAACAACTTTCTTGAAAAATCTTAACTTTCGAAATGTCAAAAAAGAAAAAAATAGATGCCCTTTAAGCTCTTAGAATTTCTAGGACAACTTATGAGTGGCGCTTTTTTGATAAAATTAACCCAACTTGAGAGAAATGGATCAATAGGTAAAGTTTTAACCCCGCTGAAAATCTAAAAAATAAATTCCCCTTTCGAAATCTGAAATAGTTCACATTTTTTGCGCCATTTCCACGTTCGTATTTGGACAGTGCTTTTTAAGTCACTTTCAGCAGATGAATTTCAAATGAACTCAAAAAGAGCATATAAACCTAAGTTCCCATAAATGCATCAATTTGTATGCATGCATATCTGTAGTTATTACAAAAAAAAATCAGCAAGACCTAAATAGGAGTCTTCACTACGTTCATTACTCTTAAAAATGAGAAATGAGTCTAATTGCCAAGTACATACAGCATAACTAACTACAAGAACTTATCATTTTGTCTCTCAAAAATTTCACACAGAGGCGAAGCTGCGCTTCGCAAACACTTGCGAGAACACGATCAGCACAGAGGCGAAGCTGCGCTTCGTAAACACTTGCGAGAACACGACCAAAAAGCAGCTCTATCAAGTGACATAAGAAAAAGTAGCTATAAGCCTCGAATTAGCAAAAACTCGAGGCTTAGCAAAAACTCGAATTAGCAAAAATCTGCGACCTAGCAAATTTGAGTCTCACACACTAACCATTCAGCCACGGATGCTTGAAACCCCCAAAAACTAGCCATCAATAACGCAGCTACATATGCTAATAAATTTCCAATTCGATGCAGCAAAAGAAGCACCAAATACAAAAAGATACAATTTTGCATGTAAAAAATCGCAAATGATAAAGCCACATTATGTATCTATTATGCATTTCAAAAAATTGCGAGAGATATTGAGTTAGAAAATTTCTGGAATCGAGATTTTATTATTGTTATGTTGTTGGAAACAAATAGCTTTCTTCGGTTCACTTGATGCATCAACTGTGTAAACTTATAACTATTCGAATGTCAAAGCACATGTTATGAATAAGCTGTAAATTTGCAACAAAATATGAAAGGTACAACAAAATATCTTATTGCCAATTCGATGCTGCAAATATTGTTGCTTCAAGTCGCAACAACAATTGCGACTTAGTCGCCGCAACAAAGTCGCAACAGTATTTGCTACTTAGTTTGGGAAAAAAAGAAAGTGCGTACTATAACACAATGCTTCGCAAGTGTAATGAAGGTAACTTTGAAACGAAGTCCAGCAGAAAACAACTATACGTTGTTAAACTATAATACCTACTCCTTTTGTTGTTGGATGTGCTGTGGATTTCCAGTTTGAACATGACCAGGCTGGACTGTCTGTCGAGGACAGTGAAGAAGTTCTTGTACATGTTCACCACCAGTGGCTTCGAGGGAAGATGAATTGCAGACTTGGAGTTGTTCTCCAGGTTCATTAGTCTGCTATAGGCTCTCAGCTGAAAAAGAAAAAGGAATCTATCTCGCGAACCGTAAACATTGCCTAATCCAAACTAATGTCTTAGGAAAGCTAATTTTAAACCAATGTCGCAACTTTTCTTCCACTTCTTAAACATTGTTCATCAATTCAGCAAACTGATACAATGCTGATTCAAAGTATCCAGAAAAAAAGAAAAAACTAAGCTTTTGTCAAATTGGGTTAAATTGAGACAAAAATGATTAATATAAACATAGCCAACAAACAGTTAGAAAAGTTCCAATGGTTGATTTTTTGGAAAATTTTTGAACTTCTAAGAAAAATATATCACGTTGCAGCACTTCGTAAAGAAGCAGGAAGAAATCAAAAGTCAAACCGGAGATCAAAACAGAGCGTGAACAAGACTTTTTCCTGAAACTAAAATTACGACCTATAGAATTGCTTTCACTACGTTCATTGAACTTAAAAATTGCTGATAATTGAACCAGAAAAATTATCATGCAACTGGTTTCGCAAAATTCGAACCCAAAATTCACCTTAAAATGGGCCACTTTTAGCTCTATTTCTTTGATCAAAATTACGCAAAAACTAATGATTAAACTTTTACATAAAGTAAAACCAACATAGAACATAGCCACGATACATGAAGGTTCATGAACGCAAGAAAATTGAAAAAAAAAACTTCAAATTTCAAAGAAAAAACATATGGCCTTACAGCTCTTTGAATTTCAAGATCAATTTATGATCGACACTTTTTTTTATAGAGTTAACCCAATTTGAGAAATATGTATTAGGTAACTTTTTATTCCATTGGGAAATCTGAAAATTAAAATCCACTTTCGAAACTCAAAGTCGACCGTGAACATAATTTTACTTTTCCCCAAAAAAACTAAATCATCATGATCTACATAAAAGTCATCATTACCTTTATTGACTCTTACACAACTTCAATCGCCTTCTTTCAGGGGTCATTATAAGTGGGAAATATATTTTTCGAACAACTCACTTCGTATCTGGAGGAGTCGTTGTTGCGACAAGTGAAGACGATAAACTCCTCGAACCAGGTCATTCCCCCGCAGACACTCAGCTCCTTCTCCTGTCAATCAATTGCGATAGTTTAAATGTTTCGAAATACAAATTGTAAGCAAATTTTGGTACAAACTTACTCAATTCGACAATTGATTTGTAGTTAATTTGAAAAATATGTTGACTTGAAAAATCTTTATAGATATTTGATTGATAATCATCTTTGCTGGGGTGTACGGAGTGGCCATCCGTTTTCCTCTTATGTTGACCACATCAATTGTACTATGAAACATGTCATCGAAATTTATCTACTTTTCATATGGACCTATATTTGGTGTATACTCATTTGAACTCAAGTATTTGCCTTTGTGAATCGATTCCCCGGCATATTTCCGTACCTGACACAACGTTGCTAATGGCCGAAATAAGCCATTATCCTAGTGAGTACGATTAAGCACCAATGCCTGCATAATGGTAACTCGCATCGGTGAATGGACTTTAATAAAGCGAATATAACTTCCGGAGAAACTTTGCAAGAAAACAAGCACCTGGTGCAGAAATAAGTGACACTTGCGTAAAAAAAAGGATATCATGATTATATATTGGCATAATTATTGCGATCCCTGCTTCTTTTCACTCTGCTGAGTGATCACACGTTCTTGTTAAATTTAGATGCTTCTTCAACATATGTGACTCACTTGTTACTGAAAGAAACTCAGTGGATATTTTAATTCAAAATGCAGTATATATCAAAAAATTTATTAGATATCTACCTGAATTTCGTTTCCGAACATCTTCCACTTGAGCTGTTCGAAGTTGTAGAGCACCACTCCATGTTGGGAGGCGACCGCCACATTGTTACCACTTGGGTCTACGCACGAAAACTGCAAAAGAAAAAAATTTTCATGGAAAAGAACAGAGATAAAATGTTGAGCTATCATCAATCATTGCCAATTCAAAACATAGCCAACTGACAGTTGGAAACGAGTAATGAACGCAAAGAAACTGAAAAAACAACTGACTCGTTTTTTTTTCAAAAACCTTCAACTTTTGAATTTTGAGGAAAAAATTGATGGCCTTAAAGCTGTTTGAATTTGTAGAACACTTTATGATGGACACTTTTTTTGCTAAAATTAACCCAATTTGAGAAAACTGGATCAATAGGCAAAACTTTTATTTCGCTGGTAAAACTGATAATTAATTTACATTTTCGAAATTAGAAGTCGATCATGTTTTTCGTGACCTTTGCCCTTTTGCTGCTCAATAGCGGAGTTTGCCTTCCTTTGAACAATGGAAACGCACTGAACTTGAAAAGAAATCACAAATCAAACCGCGAAAAATCAAATTTTAAGACTTTTTCCTGAAAAAAAATCGTTCATTACTCTTAAAAGAAACTGATTTCTTTGCACCAGTAGAAATCAATAGATTACCTTAACGATTTCAGCTCCCCTTAGATACGGCAATGGGATCTAAACAAAAAGATAAATTAAATTCAGAGGAATGACATGTTTAAAAATTGCATTACAAGAAAGCATGGCATACAACTGCCTGTTTCCAGCACTTGACATTGTCCGAGCTCTCGAAGTTCTGGTTGCTGCCGAGCATAATGCGATCATGACCTTGCAGCAAAATGAAGGACTCAGAAAACTGAAAACAAAAGCCATTTGTTTAAGCTTGTTACAAGAAAGGATGGCATACAACTGTCTGTTTCCAGTACTTGACATTGACCGAACTTGAAACAACCATATGCTTGAAACAATTTGTTCGAATATATGGAAATCATCAGAATTTTCTGAGGTTTACGCCGTTTTTCTGGGACTTTTAGCTAAAAGTGGTTCCCAACGGTGAAAAGTGGTTCCCTAGTGAATGCTCCCAACGGCAGAAACTCGAATCTCGGAATTCTTGTAAGGCAGATCTTACATGTGAAGAGAGAATTGAGTTCACGCTTTTCACTACTGGTTGCACCAAAGTCACACTGCGTCTGTCCGAACTGTAAAACCCCCCAGGACTGCGACTATCTCCCCTTAGAGGGTCTCTGGATGCTACACAGATCCACAACTGGTACCCGCTGGGACTCAGTCTGGCTACTTGGACCCTGGATTTGGAGAACTGGACTGGATCCGCTTCCCAGAGGAGACTGCCAAAAATGGAGTAAAATTGGTAGATGCCTGTGTTGAGTACGGCACAGAGAGCCAGTCCCCCCAAACACACAGTAGCTTCTCTAGCGAAAACTTTACCTAAACACACAGCAAACTTAGCTCAACCAAAAAAAGCAATTTATTCAGCTCAAAACGACATAGAGATTAGTTCTAGGCGTAAAAAGAACAATTTTGTTTGCATGAAAACCCAATTAAAAGTTGTAAAAAGCTCACCGGGTTGCGATATATTCAATTTCTGTCTGATCTCATATTTGCACGTTAGCACCAACTCATTTGTCAACTCATTCATGGCAAAAATGAGCATCGAGCCACTAAAAACAAAATATGATCTAAGAACAGCAACTACCTTGTATACTGGAAAAAAAAACAGCGAGCAGCCAGCGGAGAAGCTTGCCTTTTGGAAGTTATGATCATCTGCCTCAGTTTCTCATTGTGACAAACCCATACAGCGTCTGATACATTTGGGGCGAAAATTCCCTGGATATGCTAAAAACAGAATTATTCAGTTGCATGGTACACAGTTACAAAAACTCATTCTAAATACCAATGTTTTGATCCCAGATAAATGGCCTTTCATGAGTTTCAAGAATCTTATGATTATTATTTTTTTTCGATAAAATTAACCCAGAATTGATTAATTGAGAAAACTGAACCCAAGGTAATTTTTTTTATTCCGCAGGGAATTCTGAAAAATGTTATTCCCTGCGTACAATTTATTCAAACTAAGAGTCATTACTCATTCACAATTCTTGGTTTCATCTGCGCATTTGTTATAGGAGTACACTATTTCTTACATTTACCAAATGAATTTGCAGAGAAAATTCCTAGCGGCTTAAACACCCGAGCGGCAATTAGAATTAGACCTCAGAGAATTTGGAAAATGAAAAATACAGTAATATTATTAACTTTCAGTTACAATAGGTCTGGGGCAAACATCCGAATGTCAAACATCCACTGTCAAAACATCCGAAATTATGTAATGATTAAGTAACAAGATGACGTAAGAATGCTATTTTAGTAGGCTTTCGCCTTAGGTCACCGGTGGGCGCGCGTCGCCGGTTTACGGCAATAACCGGCTTTAATTTTCATATTGACTGCTACCTTCCTTCTGTTGGCCAGATCGCAACACGTTGAAGCAACTGCCGTGGTCACTATTAGTTCAGCCAAAGCAGCATATCTCAAACGAACAGTAGAAATCGGATCTTAGCCCTTACTTTTGGTTTATCGGATGTTTGACATATCGGATGATTGCATGCTACCCAGTTACCATAACTAAAACGAAAAACCTCTGATCTTAATTTTTTGAACTCTTTTAGTTCTCTTAGCTCCTAGATGGAAATGAAGCCATATTAAATATTTTGCATATTACACCGAAACAATTTCGCCGAAATCAACGAGAAAAAATTCAAATACTTATCCGAATGCAAACAACCTCCAAATCAGCTTTAAACAATCTTCAAACAACTAGTCGATCAGCAGCATAACCTCTACCGACAGAATTTCAGACAAAAACACAACCGTAGAAGAATAATTTAAAAATCATCATTTCTAATCTCAATTATTATTATTATCATTATTATTATTATTATGACTTTACAACTCAAAGAAATTGATGGGATTTTTCCCGAAAGCCATAAGCGATTAGCAACACAGGATAGACAGTCACAGTGCATTGTCCAGGTTCAGCTTTTTTCTTCGCTGTACACGCTGTGGAAATACTGCCAGACAGAGGAAAGGAGTCTTGGTTTAAGTCCGACTACACTGAAAAAATCGAGTTCTACGGGAAGGCGGTTCACTAGGCGCTGGCATTTTCTCCAGAACAGACAATTAGTTTTCTATTGTTACATGACAAAGTAAAGGTTTAAAGCCGGCTCATTATTGGCGCACTATGTGGCGCAAAATCTCATTTCAGAAACAAGGTTTTCCGATGGAGCCCAAAAGGAATAAAAAGCGAACAAAACCTATTAAAGAAGTTAACGAAAAATTCCGATTGGTTATCAAACTATCAACCTATAACTGAAAAGCTTCAGACTTTATATAGAAGTCGCCAATAAGCTGAATGACGGTGAATGACAAGGAGACGGGACTGATCTAGACAGAGAACTTAAGACCCAGTAAAACAAACAAAGTGAAGGCATTTTGGCGGGTAATTGAACAAATAAGACGGTAAAACAATAATCGTTTTATTGCCTTAAAACTGATCGAAATTAGGATTAACTGCTGCAAAATTAGTGATTCGATATTCGGCTGATTAACTTTTCTAAATGGGTGCCGTGCTCCTGGAGGCGAAGCAATAAGCAGAAAGTTCTAAGAGCAGAATGGGTCCAAGAGAAAAAACACAGAAAAAAATTAATTTTTATTGAATTATACCGGCTATTTGATACTAAACAAAAATTTAGTAAACAAACGTCAATAAAACCAAGAAAAGAAACGGGTCTGATGCAGACATTGAACTTAAAAGGCAATTATGAGAGACAATAAAGCAAACAAAGCAGAAGCAAGGGTATCCAGTCAATAAGCAGAATGTCCTAAGAGCAGGAAAACAAAAAAATATCCATTTTTAAAAGCTTATCGGTAAATGTAATACAAAAAAGCTCAATATTAACTTTAATTCAAAAAACAAACTTGATGAAAAATCTCAATCAAATTAACTTAAACACAGAGGCGAAGTTTCACTTCGCATAAATAAGCAAAAATATGACCGATAACGCTACTAGGAAAAACTGTATGAGTAAAATTTGAGTCAACAAAATTTCTTTAGTGACGCACGCCAATTATGACGCATTAGCAGTAAAAGTCAATTTGAAAAAATACATACCAACTAACATATTACTCAATTTATAGAGCAGACTAAGGAGCAGTAATAACCTGAAAAAATTAAATGAAATAAATAAACATCGTTCAACCAATTACGGCAAATAAGCATCGTTCAACCAATTTGAAACAATTTCTATGACGGATTAAATATCCGCTTACGTGTTAATAGCGCGAAGTATATCGCGCGTTAATTGTCCCAAATTGGCAATTTTTAAACACCCATAACTTTACAAAAAAATGATCACAGGTGAAATCACTTTCCAAATTTAGGGTCAGGACAACTATACTTTTTGAATGATTTAAGAAGATGCGGTCAGAATGGCTAGTTAAAAAGTCGAAAATTGTCTGAAGAAAAAAACAACGCGAGCACAAATATTCCGTTACTTTCATAATGAATTACGGAGCAATAAGAGTCTGTGTTAAAATTCTGAGCATTGGCTGTACTTAATAGTTGGTTATTGATCCAAATGATCACTTTCAAAACGAACACATTTTAATTTTATCACAACAATATTTGCGTCGCAACAATATTTGCGACTTAGGTTGGAAAACAAAATAGTTCATACAATAACACAAGCATTGCTTGTGTAATTATGCATAATATATTAGTTTCTTTGGTAATATTGACAATTTTTATACTTAATTTAACGATTAGCTTATAAAAATTGATATTCTTCTGTGTTTCTGCTCTTGGACCCATTCTGCTCTTAGAACATTCTGCTTATTGGCTGGCAACGCTTGCTTCTGATTGGCTTACTTTAGTGTCTCTCATAATTGCCTATTAAGTTCACTGTCTGCATCAGACCCGTCTCCTTGCAATTCACCAAATTTAATTGCTCAAAAATTTTGTTTGCATGAAAAATGCAAAAGCTTGGACTCAATTTCCTGTACTATTAGGGTTGTTAAAAATGGCATTCTAACACCAATCTAACGTTATAAAAAAAACGTTCAAGAAAAGCCAGCGCTGTGGATAAGCAGATACACGATTTGATTTATAGGGAACAGAATAAATCCAGCTTGCAAAAAGAACAGATCCTGATCGGACTGAGCCGACGGCTCTTGAGTCTTAAGTATCGTATTTAAATCTGAGCCAAATGCCTTTACATCTGAGTCACCAAGTCTGAATTAATTATAAGCTAAGCTACTGATTCACCGATTCCATTAGACAAGTTGCTGGCCTGTGAAAAGAGTCTCTTTTTGGATTTGGTAACGCTTGTTAATTTAAAGATCTAACTATATTTACTCTTTCAGAATATGGTTAAATACTAAAGCTCAATGGCGTGATTCCATAAAATTCAGAATTTTTCGACCACGGAATAACAGTTCATGAAGTTAAAACAAACATCAAGTAGTTTTCGGGGAAAACGCAGCAAAAAATTTCAGCTCAATTATCAAGCAGCCATTGTCAAAGATTCATAGATTATTACGCTACTTGATTTGATGCGAGAAAAACTGGTCTGATTATTCTATGCTAAGAGACGTACCTTTTAATTCACCTTTAATTAATGGAACTCACATTGAAATCGATGTCAGCTGACTCGCTCGCCAGAATAGCCGCTCTGCCGTCACTCAAGACACAGAGCAATCCTCCCATGCTGCCTATCGCATTGCGCAGACACACAATGCCTACGCTGTCTCTCAATAGAGACGCTGAAACATAGTAATGGAAATAACATTTGCAGAACCGGCTAATAGGAAACTTTCAACCATGAAAATATGGGCAGTAAAAGGTGCTTATGAACTCAGTCAATATTTAAGTCTGCTCTTAACAAGTCGAAGCCAAGAATAATCCCGGAAGAACTTTAAGGTTTCTAAAGTAAATTTTGCTTAAAATTTCGTTTTACTTTTCAAAAAACAATAAATGGAAAAAATTCAATTCTCATCTCATTTAAAAATCTTCCACACGAGCAAAGTTTAAAGCAAAATGATAGAACTCGAATCTAATTAGGCATTATTTGGATCAATTAGCGTGCCTCAAATCAACTTGGAATTACTTCTGAGCCGGATTGATTCGCCATATTTATTTTTAGTAAGCGTCAACAGAAAACAGGAAAATTCAGACGTAAGAATTATATTGAAATGACTTCAAACCCGCATAAAATCAAAAAAATAGTACGAGTAAAAATATCTTTTTATAATTGAGCTCAGTACAACAATGTCTTTCAGATGTTATGGAAAAATACCACAAGCTAAAAAGTCAGAATTAAAAAAAACCCGCGCATTAACATTATTACGTCACTTTTTTCGAAAATCTGAAAACAAAGACAGCTCGTATCAAGGCAAAACCCTGAAAAATCTAAGAGCCCTCTAAGGTATCTAAAGCAGAATTGTAATATCGAAAGCGAATAGCGATAGCTAAATCATAATAGCGAGCGTCAAGGAACCAATGGCATAGCTATAGCGACTCAGATTTATTATGTATTTTTCAGTTCCCATGCATGGATATCTTGCAAGACCGAAAAAAAATCAGATTGCATTCAACTTCACTTCCCCGAAAATCACACAAATACTGAAGCAGGTCAGTATTTTTTTTGCTCGAAGCTGCTTCTGCTATTTACTGGCACTTTTCGCCACTAAGAACACCTCTGATTAAATGGCCAAACGACGACTTAAAACCACTTTTTTACGGTTTTTTATCGAACTATAGTCTGAAACATAGCCAACCGGCATTTGAAAAATAGACAAAAAACGCAAAAAACCGGAAAAAACATCAATGAAATGTTTTTTGAAAAAATCACTTTTCGAATTTCAAAGAAAAAATATATGGCCTTACAGCGAGTGGAACTTCAAAAACAATTAATGATTGACACTTTTTTGATAGAAAAAACCCAATTTAACAAAACTGTATCAATGGATAAATTTTCATTGACCAGGAAAATCTAAAAATTTAAATTCATTTTCGAAACTGGAAGTTGTTTTTTTTTTCACTTAGGTATTTGTTGAGCGCAATTAACCTATCTTTTAGCAAATTAATTCGGGTTGAACTCAAAAATAAATAAAGACTTTAGTGCATTCATAGATTCTTTAACATCAATGAATGCAATTCAGAGGCTATTAGAGAATTTTAAAACTTTTTCCTCAAAAAAATCACCACAACCTATTTAAGAGTCTTCACGACGTTCATCGACTCATGTCATCGTTTAAACACATGTCAACGTTAAGACCGTGAACCTCTAATACTTATGAACAAAACGGCTGATACGTCAAAAAAAAACTTTTCTAATATCATCGCTTGAAAACTATAAGTTAAAACTTCTATGCCCCGGGACTGTAGCTTTCGTCAATTCAATTTGAAATGATATCTTATCCGGATTCGCTCGCCGCTTTCGGTACGCATTAAAAGAAACACACAACGCATTAATTAACTCAATTTTTTTTTAAACTATACCTAGAGGTGAAGCAGAGCTTCGCATCACTTGCGATACAACACAAACATAAAAAAATATCAGTCGAAAAAAAAATAGGTGAACCAAAATTTTCGTATGCAACGATGAATTATAATAGGGCTCCAGCTAAAGCTGGAGATAAGTGTTGATACTTTTTGAATTAATTTTTTTGATGCTGTATGAAATGGGTAATTTCGAAAACTGGACTTTGCCCAAAACCTTAGTTGCTTCTCTACGAAAATAAGGGAGAAGTGAAGAAGTTTTGAGATATTGAAATTTTACCCAGGACGTAAAATTTATATTTAAAAAAATTATATTTAAAAAAATAAGTAGTCGCCGCGTCGGCAGAAAAGTATGGCAGCCAGTTCTTTCGGTTGAACCCTTCATCTTAGATTTGATGCGGTAGTTTTTAAGAAAAGTCAAAAAAATGTTGCCTTAAAAATTCTGAAAAAGATCAAAAGTCAAAAACATCACTTTCGATATCCGCGCAACTTTTTTCTGCTAAAAATACGCCGAGCAGAAAAATCGTCAGGGTAGTTTTGGTCAAAATTCGAAAAGTTCCCAAAAATAATCAACAATTCAAAACTTTCTCAAAACAGTCAACATTTCAAAAAAAGCAGCTATAAATTAACTTTAAATAACCTGTTAATTCAAATCAAACCTTGATGTCACATTTGAATTGGGCACAACCGCTCAGTCAAGTGACCTGTAATTTCGATTGCACTAAAAAATTCAGATTTGGAAGTATATTTCTCGAAAAAAAAACCAATAAGTTCTAAAATCGGTCACAAAATCGAAATTATGACTTTTCCTAGAACCATAAGTTGTCGTGTCAAAAAAATTCGAACGTAGTCGCATTTGGAAAGCAGTTTCCCCCAACTCGTTTTTTTTGGATTGAACCCAAAATCTAAAAGACCGGAAGGTATTTTTGAAAAGGTCAAAAAAATCAGAAAATTGAATTTTCCGAGGACAAGGTTTTGTGAAAAAAAAATGTGAGTGGCCGCTAATGCAGGGGAGCTTCCAACTACCGTTATCTTCATTGAACCCATAATCTTAGATTTGAGAGGGTAGATTCTGAGAAAACGAAAAAAAATCACAAATATTTCGAGTAGCACAAAAGGAGTACGAGATCTTTCCACTGATATCCCTTTTTCAAAAATTGGTGGAAAGGGTTTTGAGATAAACTAAATTTCACAAAAGAAATCCACAAAACGTCACAAAAAAAAATAAAAAAATGCAATCCCATACCGTTACAATAAACATCTTTATCAAACATTGAATTATAGGGAAACATGCGGAGAAATAAATACGAATAGTAAATTAGCAACGGAACAAAGCTTATTAAGACGATAAAATATTAGAAGAAACCATTTAAGATGAAAAAACAAAAAAATAAGCAAAAAAAATAGCATAATATACGGAGTGAAGGCTTTTAGACAAATGTCATAAAATTGCAAAATCAAATGAAATGATTAAAATTTCAGAGACTGAATTTAAAAAAACTAAAAATTCGTGCTGAAAAATTAACTACCAAGGTTATGTTACAATACTTGGCAAAAAGTCAATCAGATAAGTTAGCAATGAGAATTAAGCTGGCACCAACTGATATGAAAAACACGGTTTTCTTTTCGAAAAAATGTATTTGCGGAGTATACCAGCGGCATATGTCATATAGGCAAAAATCGAAGGATATGAAACCAAACAAAACCGAGAACTTTTGTACACGATATTGGGAAATACAGATACTATAAATATTGATCAAAATTCAAAGAAAATTTTCCAAAAAAATTAATTCAAAAATATAACTGAAGCACAAAACACAGCAATTTGCTTGATTGAATAAAAAATAACCAACAGAGAGTTGAAGATTTAAACATCTTTTACGATTATTTTTTGCTTTTCGTAAAACTGGACCAATTTGAAAAATTTTGTATCAAAACGTCTTTAGAATGAAATCAATTAAACCTAGCCAGCAGAAAATTGGAAGAGAGTCAAGAAACTCAAGTTTTTTGAAAAGATCTCAATTTTTGAATTTCAAAGAAAAAATAGATGCCCGTACAGCTCATTGAATTTCTAGAACAACTCAGGACAAGCTTTTTTTTGATAAAAACCGCCCAATTTCAGAAAATTGGATCATAGGTAAACTTTTTTATCTCGCTGGAAAATCTGAAAATTAAATTCCTCTTTCGAAACTAGAAGTTGATCATGTTTTTCGTCACCTTTCATGTTTGCTGTTCGATAATGGAGTTTGTCTTCCTTTTTACAAAGTAAATGAACTGAACTTGAAAAAATCAAAAGTCAACTCGAGAATCAAAAGCCTGAATAAATTTTAAGATTTTTCCTGAAAAAAATCCTCACGACCTATATAATTAATATTGAAATTTTCTTAGTCAAGTAAACTTTTGTTATGAGGAGCGTAATGAGCCTTACATTTAACAAAGGAATCTCAAAAAGAAGTCTTAAATCAAGTTTAAATTTGAGCCTGGACAAAACAATTAAAGACTTAAAGACATTAGCAGGGATATTCGGTCGCAGTTCAAGTTGTAGAGAATGTTCAGACTAAAGAAAATTAAGTAGTAAAGTTCCAAAGGAAAGAAAAAATTCGAAGTAAAATTTATTCTCCATTTGGCGTTTTTAGAATATGAAGGCAATCATCATCCAACGAATTATTAAAAACGCCGCAAAATGGTTGAATAAGTGCTAAAAAAAATAAACCGTGTAATTTTTTTGGAATTCAAATCACGGCCATTAGGGCTGAAATGTTATATCACACTTAACCCCTATGAGCTATAAGGAGCCCCTACATAAAATAAATGAAACAAATACTAGTTATGATGAAAACACTTTGTATCCCAATAGAAATATGTGAGCATTGCAGTGTAAATTTTACTTAGCTTTCAGTATTACTGTTGATCATTTTCTGAATTCTATAGAACAATTTGCATCATTTCAAATTGTTCTATAGAATTAAAGAAAACTTTATATTGCCTTATATTGTTGGCACGCTTTACCGCCATCTGAAAGAACCATTTCAGTTTTTGTCAATGGACAGCATATTTTGCCTTGCATTTGGAAAATGAGTTTTGAACTAGGCTTCGAGAAAGTCACATCGCTCAAACCAGAACCTTTTTTTAGAATTTGCTCTGAAAAAAAACGAGACAGCAAAAAGGATGATTCCTGAAAAAAATCATCACGACCTATTTCAGTGTCTTTGCTACATTTATTGACATTTAAACATAGATAATGACCACCACAGAATTACAGCACACTGAACTTGCTAATATTGTGAACATGTTCCTGAACTAAAAATAATACAGAGGATTGAAAAAACAATAGATAATTTTTTTATTCTGCTGGAAAGTCAATTCATGACACTAAAACGGTGGGTGACGTTAAAATAAATTTTTTTGTCTTCACGAAACATAAAACGCTGGCAGCGGGAACAGAACCCGGCTTCTAGGTCTTGAATCAGATGTATATCCAGTGTAACACCCAGCTCAGTCTGCGAAATACGCTAGAACTGTAAGTTTATTAACTGGCGGAGTATTCTTCAAATTTGGGAACAATGTTATGCCTGCAGATTAAATCGTGCGCGCACATCTGCATCGTGCGTCAGAGTACCGGGTTCCAAACCCGGTGAGAACCGAAGTTTTTCTTAACAGAGTAATATGTGATTTGTATTTGCCACGTATTAGTGATATCAATAGGTGGCAAATACAAATCAGATATACTATTCATCTAAGAAAACCGGTTCTCACCGGGATTGAAACCTGGGCCTCTGGATCATGAGTCAGGTTTCTTGGGCAGTTTACCAAACAGATTGCGCTTCGAGCAGAAAATAGAGCAATCAGCAATTTCTGTTTATACGTATCTTCATGATTATCCGAAATATTGTACCCAAAATTTAAAAATATTCCATTAATTAATTAATTTTCTGACGAAACAACAAAAAACATCACGAACTAGATAAGTGAAAATCAATTCGTTCTTTTTAATTTAAACATCTGTTCGGGAAAACTCCAGTTTCAGATTGCAATACATTTGATCTCGCAAAATAACCTACTTCGTTTGTTAACACTGAATCATGGGACCTTCACCGAAATTACAACAACAAAGTTTCAAAAATAGTTCCGACCTTAAGGGGGTTTCAAAACGTCAACTAATACAGTTGAAACATCATTTGAATGATGATCGGTCAAACAAAACATGAGCTATAACAAGGGCTGAAATGTTATATCACACTTAACCCCTATGAGCTATAAGGAGCCCCTACATAAAATAAATGAAACAAATACTAGTTATGATGAAAACACTTTGTATCCCAATAGAAATATGTGAGCATTGCAGTGTAAATTTTACTTAGCTTTCAGTATTACTGTTGATCATTTTCTGAATTCTATAGAACAATTTGCATCATTTCAAATTGTTCTATAGAATTAAAGAAAACTTTATATTGCCTTATATTGTTGGCACGCTTTACCGCCATCTGAAAGAACCATTTCAGTTTTTGTCAATGGACAGCATATTTTGCCTTGCATTTGGAAAATGAGTTTTGAACTAGGCTTCGAGAAAGTCACATCGCTCAAACCAGAACCTTTTTTTAGATTTTGCTCTGAAAAAAAACGAGACAGCAAAAAAGGATGATTCCTGAAAAAAATCATCACGACCTATTTCAGTGTCTTTGCTACATTTATTGACATTTAAACATAGATAATGACCACCACAGAATTACAGCACACTGAACTTGCTAATATTGTGAACATGTTCCTGAACTAAAAATAATACAGAGGATTGAAAAAACAATAGATAATTTTTTTATTCTGCTGGAAAGTCAATTCATGACACTAAAACGGTGGGTGACGTTAAAATAAATTTTTTTTGTCTTCACGAAACATAAAACGCTGGCAGCGGGAACAGAACCCGGCTTCTAGGTCTTGAATCAGATGTATATCCAGTGTAACACCCAGCTCAGTCTGCGAAATACGCTAGAACTGTAAGTTTATTAACTGGCGGAGTATTCTTCAAATTTGGGAACAATGTTATGCCTGCAGATTAAATCGTGCGCGCACATCTGCATCGTGCGTCAGAGTACCGGGTTCCAAACCCGGTGAGAACCGAAGTTTTTCTTAACAGAGTAATATGTGATTTGTATTTGCCACGTATTAGTGATATCAATAGGTGGCAAATACAAATCAGATATACTATTCATCTAAGAAAACCGGTTCTCACCGGGATTGAAACCTGGGCCTCTGGATCATGAGTCAGGTTTCTTGGGCAGTTTACCAAACAGATTGCGCTTCGAGCAGAAAATAGAGCAATCAGCAATTTCTGTTTATACGTATCTTCATGATTATCCGAAATATTGTACCCAAAATTTAAAAATATTCCATTAATTAATTAATTTTCTGACGAAACAACAAAAAACATCACGAACTAGATAAGTGAAAATCAATTCGTTCTTTTTAATTTAAACATCTGTTCGGGAAAACTCCAGTTTCAGATTGCAATACATTTGATCTCGCAAAATAATAACCTATTTCGTTTGTTAACACTGAATCATGGGACCTTCACCGAAATTACAACAACAAAGTTTCAAAAATAGTTCCGACCTTAAGGGGGTTTCAAAACGTCAACTAATACAGTTGAAACATCATTTGAATGATTATCGGTCAAACAAAACATGTTTAAGCAATTGAAGCTTTATACCAAATAACTGAAGCAAACATTTAACCCTACTGTGAGTGGTTTGGACGTACTATCATCAGCTAGGAAAAACAATAGAATTAGACAGTAGAAAAATTACTTCTTTTTCTTAATCTCGTATTTTGTAAAAGAGTAAAAAACAAGATCTATTTGATCTACGCTTTGCATGTTGGAGTTAGATTATCAGATCGAACAAAACGAAGTTGAAAATGGGTAGGTAACTCATTGATCTTCTCTTATCTGGTTTCATAGGCTTGATAATAATATAAAACGAAGAGTAAACCAGACGCACTAACACATGATCAAACATCGAAGTACAAAACTTAACTTAGACCTTGACCCATTTAAAAAATTCTATCGGCGATGTTTAAATAATCAATTGATTTTCCAACCTCTTGAAGGGTGAAGATCGTAGGCAAATGGAATAGTGGAGAGAGGCTTGCTCTGATTCTTGACCAGGAGACCGTCTGACCAATTGAACTGCTTCAGGTATCCGTTCGCGTCAGCCACGCAGAACTTACTGCCCACTCCGCAAAATCTAAACAAATTCAAATAAGTTTCATCACAATACAATGTCTTGATACAAAAACCTACACCATCAAAAAATAATAACAATAATTTGAAGGTGTAATCACTGATTTTACGAGGTAGCATATGAACACGAAATGTGTTTTTATGTAATTAACTTGAATGGTATTTTTCACGGAATTGGGCAATCTGAATAAAAGTCAACAACACAGAGGCAAAGCTGAGCTTCGAGCCACTTGCGATACAAACAAGAATGACTATTATTAAACTCAAACGAAAAAAAAATGAATAAAAACCTTCAAAAAATAGTTTTTGTCAATCAAAATCGCAACAAAAGTCCAAAATATCCGGAACAAAATTGCCTGCACCATTAGAAACTCTACAAAGAGCTTTGGTAATGCTAAAAAGAAGGCAAGCTTGCAGACAAGTCCTTTCTGCGGAATCAAGCAGAAAAAAATCGGACAGACAATAATCTAAATTAGCCAAAATTTTCTATTTGCAAAAAACAGAAACAGGTCTCAAACTGGAATTGAACTCTTGGGCTTTGTCGTCTCAAGCTTGAAATGAAGCTGAACCATCGAGCTACGGGAACCAAGCAGACAAAAAAACGGATGATAATCCGAAAAAGCACGAAACCTCTAGTTTGCAAAAAAAGAGCCCGGCCGGATTCAAACCGCAAACCTTTGCCATCTCAATCTGCTGATTTACTTTTAAGCCAGATGCGCCGTGTAATTGATTGGATTTTAATTTATAATTACCAAGCGGTAGCGAAGCCAAAAATTTCTGAGCTAAATCCCTTCACGCCGAAAAAAAAAGTTAAGTCCTTTCACCCCAGAGCACACACACACACACGCACAAAAACTTTTTTCGGTCGCAACGACGCAATAAGAGGCCACTAAGTGGATATTAACTGAGCCGAAAACTATTGAGCCAAAAAAAGACAAAAATGAAAAAAAAGTGAAATTTTAACAAATCGAGCTGCTAAAATTACAACAAATAAGAGAAGCAAATTTCGACTCGGCCAGATTTTTAAAATGCTAAAAAAAACTGCAGTGAAAATTGTTTACAGCGTAGATAAACGATTCTTAGATGTGGCAACTAAGCCGACAAAACATAAGCAGACAAACAATAGGCCGAAACTCTTTTGAACCGGAAGATTTTATCGTTTGAAAAAACTGGTCCTGGTCGGATTCGAACCCAGGACCTTTGCCGTCCCAAGCGTATTCGTTACCACCAGACTAATTATGCGAGAGACACTACAAAATTCGAATTCATAATGAGCTAGGAGTACAAAGTTGTGTACCTTGAGTCCTGCGGACAATGGTGTTTACGGGAAAAAAACGTGGCGCTCCGGTAGCTATAAAGCCCAGCAATCATATGATAGCTGGTGTTCAAATAGCACGTCCGCTGCAATTTATCAGGTGAAGTTTTGCAAGTAGGTCATAACTTAATGGATGCTGGTTATATGCGTTCTTGCCAATCTAAATTATTAGCCTTCGGGTTAGGCCTCCAGGCTAGTTGACCAAAAAAACTAGAAAAAAATCGTGAATCTCGAAAGCACTAGATAGGATCAAAATGAATATGGCTAGTTTTTAAACAAGAACATGCCACGACAAAAAACGTGTGAAATAAAATAGAAAGTCAAATAAACAAAAGCAGGTGAAAGTTTGTCAAGCGGTAACAAAGCCGAATATACCTTAGAACAAACACTTAAAGCTGAAAAAATTCAACAAGTCTTATAAAAAGTTATTAATTCTTTCAGCACACACGCATACACACACACGCGCGCTAACGCAAAAAAAAACTTTGTTCGCTCGTCAAATTAAACAATAGGAGGCAACTAAGCCGAAGTAAAATTAGCGAAACCTATTAATCCCAAAAAGAAAAGAAAAAATCAAGACTAATTTAAGACTACTAGCGTTTAACGCACCTCCAATGCATCAAATTTTTGTCAACTCATAAAAAAAACCGCATATAATGAAAACAAGATCTGCAGCCTTTTAGTGAACTCTGACAGTACCCAATTACAGGTTTGGTAATTTCAAGTTTTTAAGTTTTTTTATTCCAATTTTGAAAAGTCATAAAAGCGTCATATATCGAAAACTTAAAGGGCCTCATGAGAAACTCGGAGGCAAAATTTGCAATCCTCTGAGAGTACTGTATAGCCCCCAACTACAGGGTTGACAATTTCGAAATTTGAAAAAAAAATTCAGTTTTCTGGGAAATTTTGAAAATTCACAAAAAAACCATATCTATAAAACTACAAGGATTTGAGCAGTCATATTTGGAGGCAAGATTAGCAACATCGTAGAGTACTTTATAGATCCCAACTACAGGGTTGCGAATTCCAAACTTAGAAGAAAAAAATTAACTGAAGTTTTCTTAACTTTTTTTAAAAAAATCACAAAAAGCGTCAAATCTCAAAAAACTACCATTATTTGAGCAGTCAAATTTGAAGACAAGATTTGCATTCCTTGAGAGTAATCTGACAGCACCCAAGTACAGGGCTGGGAATTTCAAATTATGAAAAAAAAATTAATTTAGGTATTCTGAAAAATTTTTGAAAAAAAAACACAAAAACGTCGTATCTCGTACACTAAAAGGATTAGGGCATTCATAATTGGAAGCTAATTTTGCAACCCCTGGGGGAACCCTGACAGCATCCCGCTATTGGGCTACTGTTTTTTAACTGGGTGAAATAATCACTGAATTCAAACTGGAAAATAGAAAAAAATTCTTCACCATTACAATATACGATATAGCTTAAACGTGAAAAAATTCTTTCGTTGAACATGCAAAAATAATATGTTAAAAAAGCTTAAGCGTTGCAAGTCAGTGAAGCCCGTTTTAAATATCTAATAGATTAAACGTTATTAGGTCCTCCTAGTCCTCACAGACACACGCACACTAGACATTTGTCGCTCGTCGAACGACGCAGTATGAGGCATATGTAATATCAGCCGAAACCTATCAGGCCGAAAAAAAGTTTTAAAAAAAATAATAACAAAATTTTAACAAATCAAATCGAGTCCAACATAAACAACCAACATCAAAAACAATTTTCGAGCAGATACTTAAAATGCTAAAACGCACAAAATGCGTTAAATTTGTTGCTAAAACAGTCTTCAGGAAAAGAGTTCAAATGAGTCCTGTGAACAAAGTTATTAACGGAAAAAAAGGTCTAGTATCCGATTGCAATACCCTGGCTTACCGCGGTAGAAGAGATATAAAATAGAAGAGAAATGTCGAGCGGTAGAAGAGATATAAAATTTCAAAACAATGCCTGACTTGAAAAAAAGTAAAAGCAAATGAAATTAACAAGAAATGAAAAGTCAAAAAACGTGAAATAAAAATTTGACAGTGAACGAACTTAAATATTTGTTCTAAAATAAAAACAAACAAAAACACCTGACCTAGATTAGTGTCTTCAAGAGTGGGGTACTGCTTCAAAACGTTGTCACTAATGTTCAGTGTGGCATTATTGTTTATGGATACTATAGTTTCACTGTTTAAGAAAACCGTATCAGTGAGCTATTAAAATTGTTCTGATCAAATCGCTTTGAATCTTCGAAGGAAAATTTTAATCTTTGGATTTACCAGAAGCTTACCAGGATGTCAAGACAAATTTACTTTCGGTTTTTATGCAAACGATAAAGTGCTTAAGCACACAAGCATGGAGCATATTAGTTTAATTAAAAAAAACGCTGAAATTACTTCCTGTAAAAATTGACAACTTCAACACCGTCACATTTACACCACAAAATAAACACCTCTTATTTAATTCAAACTTTTGAATAGACGGAAACTAGGACTAAAACCACGTATCCGGAAAAAAAAACTTATTCGAGAAAATAATTACTGTCTGAAGCGAACTCCATTAATTGCTACCGGACCTAGATTATGGTCTCTACGTTAAAATTAACATTCATTCTAAATTGCCCAATTTGTGAACAAAGCTATTCACGAGATGAAAACTCATGTAGTACCTGATTGCAATAGCCTTGCTTACAGAGGCGGACCTAAGATTTTCTCGAGGGGAGATTTTCAAAAAAAAAATTCGAAATTTCGTCGACCTTTTTTTCAAGTCGACCAAATTGATTTTCCGAGCGCTCCAGAACACTAGAAATACCCTAGTTTAACTCTTTTTTTGCGCTGCAGGCATTTTCAAAAAAATTGGCCAACGGCATTTTTGTGCAATTTTGGAAAAATTTTGACAAAAAAAATCGGCAGGTTTTTTCGGCGCCCCCTTCAAAAATTGGTATACATTTTCACCGAAGACTCCTTTTGAAAAATTTTACGGTTGGTCGGCCGAAAATGGATGTTATAAAATAATACCAAAATGGGAGACCTTTTGGTTGATGAGGGGGTAGAATCCCTGAGAGGGGAGCGTCCCCCAATCTTAAATCCCCCTATATCGCAAGGGTAATTAAAACTCGGTGAGCTTAAAAAATGACGGATTCTTAGAACTTTTTCGATTGAAATCTAAATATTTCACCCCACAGCAAAAAAAAATCTCAGCGAACCTATAGACCTTGATGTCTATACCTTGAGTCACAAATGGTGATGTTATTCGATTTTTGAAATTCTTTCAAACATGCAAGTTACTTACGATTCAATCTTCGTGCCAAGTGATATCACTGCCAATTGAGACAAGGCGTAGTCTGCGAAAGCTGTCCTCTTCAAGGAGTGAATTCTGAAGCATTTTAGTACTCCTTATAATCCTGTAGTACCTTCAATTACTTCTGTTCTCAATTATCCAAACTTTTGGAGAAAAAAGAACACAAGCAATCCCCAACTCGACATCACATGATTGAGTTCCAATGAAAAGACGTCTTATTTCATATGAAGCAATTAATGGTCTTCTTACGTTTGATAGAGTTCGACATCTGGTAAGCGCTGTGTCATAACTTGAAAGATGATGCAGCTTCCATTCGCTGTCTAAAATTGAACAATTAATCTAAGCAAACGTAAGCCCTTCTCAATGTTCAAGCTCATCAAAATAGCCGTTACGGATAAAATCAGAAATACGAAACTTTTACAAATTATGAGCTCTAAAATCTCAAAAAGCTTGAATTGCTTTATTATCATTGAAACATCTCACCGAGACAGCGACTTTGTTGCTCTCATCGCTCCAAATGACGGCCTCGTTCACTCCCAGTTCTCGTAGAGACTTCGTGGCCCTAGTGCAGCTGCTGATTTTACTCACTGGCAACAGCAGCACTATGCTCAGACAAGTGTCTGAAATGAGAGCACCTAGGTTGCCATCGGGTGAGAAATCCAGGGCAATGGTATCGCTCAGACTTCTGGCGATGCTGGGTGCACCATATGGATATAACATTAGCCCTGAAAAGTGAAAAAATGATAATTTTTGATTTTTCAAATTTAAGAATAATTGAACCTAAGATCTCTCTAAGGCACTAACTAAAACCAAATTTAAGATTAATTCACCAATTTCATTCCCGGTTTGACAGTACTTTTTGAACATTCTAGGAAAGGAAAATAAAGTTAACGGACAGACCAATAACTTTCCGCCTCTCAGTCCAAGGGTCGGTGGTTCAGGACGAGGCAACTTAACCCAACCCGGAATAGCCAAAAAATATGGCTTGAGAGCGAGGCAACTTAACCCGGCTTGAGGCGAGGCAACTTAACCCGGCTTGAGGGCGAGGCAATTTAAATGACCCGGAATAGCCAAATATATCAATCAAAAATGAAGGGGCACAACAGCGGTCCTCCTTAAACAGCAGAACATTTCGCTTGATGACTATTTTGCCTCGAGGATAAATTGCCGGAATAATAAATTCATTTTCATGACTCAAAAACTCATATCAGTTCAAAACACCTGTTAGCATTATTTGACCTCTTTCGCGAAAAATCGATTTAAACAATTATGAAATTCATTCAGTAAACTCATGCGTAAACCTCTCAGTCTCAGCTCGGCAATATTAAGAGTCTGATCACTTATTTGGTAACTTAGCTAAATGTGGCCAACTATGATACTTAATACTATTTTTGCAAATACAATTTGAAAAAAATGCAACTTGCTTCAGCATATCGTTAAGTACTTTTTATATAATATCATTTGCATTGTGATTTTGCCAACGTTTTCAAGCATATGCTGTAAACGTTTTAGCGGTCGTTCAAATTAACAACTGATATCAAAATGACATCTAGTGAAACCAGCTTGGACAAAAATTACATCGAAAGCGCAGTTCTTTCATGTCATAATTTATGCTACCAAGTTGGAATTGGACTCCGGAAAAAGACAGAAAAGAAGATTCTTCGCGATGTGTCTGGAGTCTACAGACCAGGACTTACAGCCATCATGGGACCTTCGGGGTCCGGAAAGACCAGTTTGATCGACCTCCTTGCAGATAGGGTCGACATAGATCCCAAACAACTGAAAGGAAAAATTCTCTTGAACGGAAGTCGGTTTCCGTCGAACTATCACATCATATCTGGGTGAGTAATTTTACAAGGACGTCTATTTTTTTTCTGAAAATCTTTTTAAAAGCAAGCTAACAATATCAATTCTAAAACAGACAAAAATCACTCTTTTTTAATTGTTCTTACTCTTATGAAGGGATCCATCATAAAGAGCCGCCTGAGAATATCCAAAGTCTGTATGAAAAATGAACAACCATCTAAAACTGTCAATTTTTAACAATGACCGTCAGCCACTTTTTGTTGCTGCCTAGATACGTTGTGCAAGATGACGTAGTAACGGGATCACTAACAGTGCGGGAGAATTTACTGTTTGCTGCTAACATGCGTCTTAAATCTGACATCGGGGCTGACGCGAAGAAAGAACTGGTCGACAGCATTCTCAAGGAGTTGCTGCTGCAGAAATGCGCAAACACAAAAGTGGGAACTGAGCTCATCAAGGGAGTATCGGGAGGGGAGCGGAAGAGGTGCAACATAGGCATGGAGCTGGTCGTCAGCCCAAAAATTCTATTCCTCGGTATAAACTATTTGATTTTACAGCATTGCTGAGTTTTTGGATTATTTACAGCCAATTAAATTCCAGGTGTCCAATTAAATTAAGAACACGTTGTTTTTAGCATCGAAAGTGTAGCTCTTCTCTTGTTTTTGTAAGTAAATCGTTGATGGGCATCGTTTCAAAAGTTTCGTCTAAACGCTCTCTGTCGTTTGGAAAGGTCAGAGATGTTATTCGGACTGGTTGACACATCTGTACAGATGATTGTTTGCGTTGTATGGATTGTTTACAGCATTTTTGGGCAAAATTAGTTGTTGAGTCGTCGCGTCTAAATCTAGCAGTGCGGCCTCCGCCGCAACGCCTCTGGTTGAGGGGGGAGTTCTGGTTGCGACTGCAGTTTCGTTGAAACAGCAAGACATCCAACGGCATTTTCATTTAAAAGCAGCGCTATGGTGCTTGATTGCCGTTTTATCCGTATGAGTCTACACCACTGCAAGTAGCGACAAAATGGTTCAACAGGAGCAGGCTCAACTGATGTGCTAGAGGGTTACTCCAACCTGAGTAAGGGAGAGAAAAATTTATCGAGGCTGGAACAGGCCTTTTGGTTGAGCGAGAGTTCCTTTGGGGAGATTTTCAGTTATTAACTTAGGTATCGGTGTAGCGTACCCATAAATGGTACGCTATTGATAGCCATGAAATAAGTGCTATATTAGAAATTGATGTCATAAATTATTAATGTTAAAATCCCAAGCATGCAGTTGAACAAGTTAGTGTTTATTAAAGTAAATAGTGAGTTATTAGTTGGGACATATTATTGAATATCGAGCTAGCTGAAAGTAATAAAGTTTACTAACCAAAGTTAAATTCAAACAGCTGAGAAAGTGATAGAGATAGAATCCATGCTGTCGGGGCCCATGCGTCCGTATTGAGATACTGCTAAATCAACTCCAGTTAATAACATGCAATAACATCTAGAAACCATGCGGGTTAATTAATAAAAGCAGTGCATTACATGGTGATAGTTCGCGAACGACAGTACAGTGACAATCTCCACTCATCCAGCTAGACGACATCTTGAGGGCGAGCTGAAACAGTAGATCAAGCGCAGCAACTGTGTCAAATCAGAAAGGTGAACTTACTAATGAGTGTTTTGTGATTCTGTCAATTGAGGAAACTACATTCAAGTGAAGTAACTGGAAAACTCGAGAACTTTCGTCTCTACAAACTTGTAGGTCAAACTATTAAGACTCTTGTGCTATATATTAGTGAGAAGTTATAAATTGGTGTGCGCTCAAATCAAAAAACATTGAAATCAATCATGATCATTGGAAATCATTGAAAATTGGAGGAGCGTAAATGCAGTAGATTGAAGCTTAAAGACGGAAAACTCTAAAATCGAAATCAGCATTAGCATTGAATTAGCCTTACTAACAATTTTAACCGCGCTGTGCTAAAATATCAGCTTTTTCGTGATAAAACCAACCCAGTTCGTTCATATAAATTTTATAAATTGTTCAAACCTAACTGAAAACAGACTGAAAATCATAAAACTGTAAATGGCGCACGCTCAAATCTCAGTTAACCCGTACGGAGGGACGGATACCGAAGATTTTTCACAATTCGAACAACTCTTCAACGGATTCATCGGAGTCGCAGGCGTATTACCGGCTCAACAAGCGAATTTTCTACAACTCCACTTGCGTGATAATGCACTTCGTTTCTACCAGACATTACCAGATGCGACTAGAGCAAACGTAGTCGACAGCTTAACAGCGTTGCGCGATCATTTCAGTAATCCGCAACTCCAAGAAGTCCATGTCTTGAAATTGGAACAGCAAAAATGCGACTTAAAGAAGGATACGCCAGAAAACTTCTTGGTGACCTTACAGAAAAAAGCGCAAAAAGCGTACCCAACGCCAGAAATACCAATTCCTGACCCAATTGATGCAGCAGCTGTCAATGCCGCATTAGAAGCAGCACGACATGCCAGAGAAACTGCACATCGTCAAGAACGGTTGGACGCAGTAAGGGATCATCGAGACGCACAAATTCGAAGACTGTTTGTAAAAGCTATGCCTGGATGGCTTCGTGCAAAGCTCATGGAACAGCCTGCGGGTAACACGGTACAAGACCTTTGTATGTATGCAAGGAGACAGCTGGTCATCCGAGATATGTGCAGAAAAGAAGATTATCCAGAGGATGGATTTAACGAAATAAGTGAGACTGTGTCTGATAATCTTATCAGCGCCTTATCGAAGCTTACTGCGACGCAAGAAGCTATGGAGAAGCAAGTGAACGAAATTCGAACTCAAATGAACGATAGAGATCGTCAAGAAGCATCGACATCCGCACAGCGATCAACAAATCAGCAAACGCAACAACAACAACAAGAACAGCAGCATCAGCAGAATCGTTTCCCAAATAATAATAGTGGTTTCCAACGAGGATTTCGTGGAGGAGGTAGAGGTCACCAGCCGAGACAACCCTACTCCGGACAATACACGAACGAATACTCACCCAGAAATCATTATAGCAGAGGGAATAATAACTTTAGAGGTCAGTACCTTTATCAAAACAACTTCAGATCCGGATACCAAGGAAGAGGAGGAAACTTCCGAAGTCCTTACCCATTCCCCCCTGGGAATCAGCAGCAATGGCCTAGGAGACCATCGAATTACCAGAATCAGAATTACCAGAATCAGAATTACCAGAATCAGAATTACCAGAATCAGAATTACCAGAATCAGAATTACCAGAATCAGAACTACCAGAACCAGTACCCACAATCGAACCACTTCCAACAGCAGTCAGTCAACCAACAGCAAGCAACAAACGTTGACATTCAAGCCCCAAACGGCCCGTATATGCCCGTAATTCGATCAACCCCTGTGCTCTGCGATACATGTGGTTACCCTAACCATACCGCCAGTCAATGTTATATGAGACCAAAATCTCAAGGAAGGGGACAATCCTTCCCATTCCAAAATCAGTCAAAAAACTAATAGCGCCACCGAGTCAAGAGTCAGAACGAAAAACCGAAATAAACGATACCAAGCAAAAAACACCTAACGCTAAACCGAAAAGACGCCGAAAAAACATAAAAACCTCAAAACGTTCACGATTGAATAAATTGGGGAAAAATGAAGCCGAAAATAGTAATTCCAATAAAAAGCTATCAAATGCATTTCCACACGAAATACTTGATTTATATGCTGTTATACCGGAAAGCGACAAAACACTTTCTTATGTCAAACTTCAATTCGCACCCAAAACCTTTAGGCGCGCCCTGGTCGATACAGGAGCGTGTGCAAATGTTATATCACAGACAAATTTCAACGACCTTAAAACGGATAAATTCTTATATCAAGAAATAGTGACACAAAAGTCGAAATTGAAACGAGTACGAATGGCCGGAGTTCAACTTGTACCAATAGAGATCGAAGCAACAATGTGTTTCAAAATTGCAGCAAAAACGTTCACGGAAATTTTCCTTGTGTTACCAACAGCGAATTCAATGATACTAGGAAACTGTTTTTATAAAAAACACGACGTACAAATTTGTCCGAAATATGATCTTTTGAAATTTCCCGATGTAACAATTCAAATAAATGAAATCAAAACCCCAAGTTCTAAACGACATAAAAAACAAGCGCTCCGAGTACCAGTAATCCTTTCGAAGAAATACGTTATTCCGCCGCAGAAAACGGTGCTTTTAGAGTGTTTTACCGAGATCGACATTAAAAATACTATCGGAACAGTTGTACCAGTCCCCGAATTTGAAGACGAATCCAATATTGCGCTAATGTCATCAATCAGTGAGACTACAGATGATAGCAAACTGTATATTTCAGCACTTAATGTAACCGATCATGTAATAACTTTGCCGAACAAGAGCACAATCGCAAATTTTTCGATCTTAACATCAACAGACATGAAAAATATCATCCCGATTGACCCACAAACGTTGGCTTTAGCAAAAATGACCAACCCGGAAAATGTGAAACATGAAATCAATCAGCTCATTCAAGTGAATAAATCAAATGACGTGAAACCTATCAAACCAAAGCCAGAGTATGAAAAATTTTGGTTCCCGACACCGGAAACGTGTGAAAACCCTAACATTCTTACCCCAATTCAACGGGAGATCTATGACCAGATCCTCCATTTTAAGAATCTTGAACTTTGTGAACCGAAATCAAGTGACCATGATAGATTGACATTTCTAGATCAATTCAATTGGGAAAATTCCGTGTTGACAAATGAGCAAAGGTCACAAGTGGAACATTTACTTGTTAAATACTCGGATATATTTGCCAAACATCGATTTGATGTCGGATACAACTCGGAATTGCAAATCAAACTAACACCGGAACACCAACGACCTCTGTACACACAAGGTCCGCCTACGCCAATCCACCTACGAAAAGAATTAACAATTGAACTTGCACTTATGCATTACTTTGGCCTTATAACGACATTATCACAATCAAAGTACAGTAGCCCATTGTTTGCTCACCGAAAGCCATCAGGAAAACTCCGCATGCTTATTGATCTAAGAAGAATAAACCATTCGCTCAAGAATGATTATTTAAACACGAACTTTCCAATCTCAAATATGACAGATGCCTCAAATCATTTTGCCGGAAAGAACTTGTTTACAAAACTTGATTGCTCACAAGCATACCATTGTGTACAAATGGCAGATGACATTTCGGTTCAATTGTTGGCATTTAACTTTTCATCACGAACTTATGCATACAAATGCCTAGCGCAAGGTCTAAATAAGTCAGTAACGGGTTTCAGTTCATTCATTCGGCACTACTTAGATCCATGCCTAGCAGGGGATATGTGTACACAGTTCATGGATGATATAGGAAGTGCAGTGCACACGTTTGATGAACTAATTCCGAACTTGTCAAAAATCTTTGAATGTATTCAAAAATCAGGACTCAAATTGTCCCCAAGTAAATGTGAAATAGGTACGCAAAAAATGAAATTTCTAGGAAACATCGTAACACCAGCAG